GTGACATTTTAATAGTTTGATATAGGGCTGCACAATATATCGTTTCAGCATCAATATCGCAATGTGTGTGTCCACAACAGTCACATCGCACAATCTGCAATGTTGCATTTGGATTATAGTTGACCTGCACCACAGTTCAGAATACAAGAGAGTTGTGAAGTTAAACCAAAACAGATTGAAAATGTATAATTTGGAAGTGTTTTAAAGGCATTTCAAAAGAGTTCAATAATTGTTCATCCATGATTCACTCCCCTACAGAAATCACCACAATAGGTCTAAATTCAGATTTAGCACTATTAAACCATCTGGTAAAATTGTATTCATAATCGCAATATATGTCGCAGAAAAACAAAATGGCACAATAAGGATTTTTTTCAATATCGTGCAGCCCTAGTTTGATATATTATCTGGGTTGGTGTTGTATATAGTACAAAAACATGGTAATAAGCTGCCAGTACATTCTTTGTTATTTTACAAACTTAGTTTTCTCTATATAACAATATCTTGTCTCAAACTACTAACATGTCAATAAAAGTCCCTCTGTTAAAACCTAAATGAGATTAACATCCCATAATGCAATTACAATAATAAATAAACAGAAAACTCTTTGAATCACAAAAATACTGAACCTGTTAATTAAAGGAGTGGTCCACTACTATATCATATTTTAAATTTATGTTCATGTGTAATGTAGATGTGTGAACATAAACAACATATCTGAATGCATTTTGCTCAATACAAAGCAAGACATTGGCTTTTACAGAGTTAGCTTGGCAAAGCCTGCAGCGAACAAAGTTTGGGGACTACAAAAAATACTGGGTTAATGAAATCATAAACCCTTCAGGTTGTGCGCATGCACTATAGCGCAGCAAAAATGGCATGGCCATTGGCACTGTAATGTTATAGCAGAGAAAGCTAAAATGCTGTCCAAATGCTACGATTTACACAGAGCTTCTTCTGTTTGGGTTCCCAAAGGACACGATGCAAATACAGAAGTGCTTACAATTGAACTTGCTCATACTGCTGCCGCTAACACAACTGTATATTGTGCATGTATAAGTGCATGCTAGTAGAGTTGTTGCGCTTCCTGGTGATGTGGAGCCAATCCCCGAATCTCAGCCATTATGACAGTTGACTAATCAGAGCCTGTTGCGTGCGGGCCTCCAGAGGAACCAGTAAATATATTAGTTGATTTCTTGTTAGTTGAATAGCAGTATATAATTAAGTAAGATATATGAAAAAATAAAGTGATTTATTTTAGCAAATGAAGCATGAGCACACATTGCTTTGAGTCTTAAAACACAAACAAGTCTTTTTTTGTTTTTGACATTTTACATGCATATTGTAAATACACAGGAAAAATAATGAAACTGCTTGATAACAAAGACTATAGAATACACAAGACATGTCACTTATAATGTTTTGAATGGCGAAAAGTGTATCGGTTAATATGGCTAATGAAGCCCGCCTTCTAGTCCAGGAGCCAATCGTCGATCGCTATAAGGCGAATAAAGCCCGCTTTCTAGTTCAAAAGCCAACAATCAATCGCTAATCGCTATTATGCAATTCGAACATTTAGGAACAAAACTAAAAAAAACAGTTGTTTAGTTTTATTGGTGAATCCTAAAATGAAATTCAGTCATTAGCTTGGCAAGTAGATTTGGAGAATTTGATGTTTCTCCATTCATACAGAATGCCCAAGCATACTGCCCGAGTGGTGTTTCAAAGATTGTAATCGAGTGAAATGACTTGCCTTAAAGAGACTTTGTTAATAACCACAATCATTATTATGCACATTATTTCTGTATTAGATATTCAAATGATCAAAGAAATACTGGAATATCTTGTATTTATTTATTTTTGGCCCTTTTAGAATTGAACTACAGACCAACTTTGGCTTGTGGCCATCAGTTTTAAACCACTGGTTTATAGAGGGAACACACACGATCCAAATGGCAAAATGAGCCTCCACAACCCAGTCCAAAACAAAAAGGGAAAAAAAAAAGATCTTAGTTTGGATTCCACAAAAATGAGAGAAATGAGGTAAAGACTGTAACGCAGCTAAAAGTAGGTCAGTAGATCAACAAAAGAATGTTAAGCACACAAATGCGTCTTATTCTCCATCGCTCACCCGTTGAGTGAACAAGCTATAAACACTGGTAGCTTGCTGATGCAGGAAACTTTTACCATTCCGGCCAAGATTGAGCCTTTTAACTGCGACTGAACACAATCATAACTGTGTCCTCGCAGACTCCTTCTATTCCAGGTCATGAAGATAAGCAGCTCTCGGCCAACAAACAGAGCCGCTTTTGTAGTCAAGACGGAATTAAATTGAAAATGAAAATGCACAGCAAACTTTCTGATCCCACTAAAGCGAGAGAGAGAGAGAGAGAGAGAGAGAGAGAGAGAGAGAGAGAGAGAGAGAGAGACAGAGAGAGAGAGAGAGAGAGAGAGAGACAGAGAGAGAGAGACAGAGAGAGAGAGACAGAGAGAGAGAGACAGAGAGAGAGAGACAGAGAGAGAGACAGAGACTGCACTTGTAAAGGCCATGCCAGTCCACTTCACCTGCTTTCAAAGCTTTACATGGAGCTTAGCCATTGCAACGTTGAAGAAGTATTTGTTGAAACAAATGTGCCTTAGAATGTCTTGGAAACTGCCAGCAAACAAGTAACTACTTGTAGACTAGTCCAGGATGGATGCCAAAGAGAAGGAAACTGATTTCAGATGCAAAAAAATCTCACTGCTGCCATTGCATCATGATTATTTCACCAAACTTATGTAGGCAACTTCTCAACATCCCCATAAAGTCCCTCTTTAATTAAACCACAAATACCCACTAACAAACTGCTGCAACAGTTGTTTAAAATAATTAAATGACAGTTATTTTACATAATTGAAGCAAAATTCTGACATTGACACAGCAAGTTCAGGGAACAAACAATGATCAAGAAAACCTTTACAGCTTTGAAATGTACACAATATTTACATGGGTAGCAGAACCACATCTAAATTAAAAGCAATATACAAGGTATTTTATAAGAGTTTAAAAGCTGTAGAATTGACAAATGTCCAGAATGACAAAATGCCACATTTATAGGTATCTTTTTTTTTAATGAAAAAATAAATGTATGAATAAATATAAAAAATACAAAAAACACAGCCTTCATGAACAGAAGAGAATAAGGAAACTTCAAACCAAAACTACTGTAAATCACACAATCTAAACTAAATTGCCTAATAGTGAGCAATAATGACCAACGCTTTTTTTTTTTGCGACACTAGAAATATGCATGTATAACTATTAGATATGATATGCATATAGTTTAAATGCATTCTTATGAAACTTTGAAGAGAGTCAGAGGAGTGTTTAGAAATACATCCTGAAGTTTCTGTAATCTTGCTGGAAGGCTTAAAAGGTCAAAAGGACTGCTCTGTGGGCCTCTGTGTGTGCTCTTCAGTATACATTACAGAAAACCAGTGAAGTGTAGAAATACCTCAGGATCTTAACTGTCCTTACTCGCGCTGCTCTTTGATCTAAGAAAATTTAAGAAATCTATCTTCATATTTGCTCCAAATTAACAAATTAGTTCTACATGTTTTGAGACAATGAGCCGCCCAATAAACTAAATTCATTGCGAATCTTGTAGACAGCAGTTTGAAGGAAAGGTAAAAGTTATACCTAGGCCCACGCGGAATCTGCACACGCAGATTTCTGCAGATTTTTAGTCCATCTTTGAGTTTATGTATTTACTTGTGTAAATGTGTGTAAATTTATATTTATTCAATTTGTAAATTATTTCATGAATATTAATGTGATATAATAATAGTAATATTAAAATGTTCATACGATTTATAATATTTACAATAAAGTTTGCAAAGTAATTTCATATAAAGTTTTTATTACGATACTCCTAAGATCATTCCACATAAATTCACATTTTTTATAATATTATGGACAAAAATAGCAAAAAATGTCCACAGATTCTGTCTGGCCCGAGGTATACCTCATTTTTGGCCATACAGCAGCCTAAATGGGAAGCTCAACAAGGTTCAGAGAGATGGATTGACATCTAAAAATTATATAGATTTTAGGAGAATGATCTACATAAAAGAATAATGACCATGAAAAATGTCATATTAATCACAATCTAACACAACAACTGATATTTTGAGCTGCATAACGTTACATTTTGCCACGTTTTTTGCCTAGAAAAATACATATGCTATAATAAAGTGAATAAAATGAGTGACTTGTCCAAATAAAACAAGTTTAAGTGTTAAAGGGGGAAACTCGGTGCTCCAGCAGACTCGTGTCTTCACATACAATTAACGTTATAGCAGTCTTAATGGGTTGCTCAACAGGTTTTTGAGACACGGCCGACCACTAATGAACCCCCAAACCATTTAGTGTCGCATGAAGGTTATTGGGGTAACGTAAAGTTGGATTTATATTCGCACATTTATTCAGTAACAACTTGTAACATGCTCCCTATATTGTTTACCATAGTACTTTTAAATATTCCGTCTGATATCACGCAAGTGTGGCTTTAAAACAACATTAACACTATTTAATTGACTATGAGCAGTGTTGTATTTTAATGGTCATTGGCTGCTAATATTAATTCACTAACTTAACTGTTATTGAGAATTTGCAAAGAATACTTTTCTGAAAATATTTTAAGGAGACACCTGAATGTGTGAATATAGAACTAATTTTACCTCAATACGAAGTTTGTGAATCTCTTCGACAACAACTCAATGTACTTGTCATTGAACAACTTTTAAAGAACATAGCCTTTATCGAACATAAAAATAACATTTTACACTTAAACTAACGTTACCTAATAAAGCTTTACAAAAGCAACAACTCATATTTTGAGGGTATATAACTAGTAAACACGATTAACTCTACTGACAAACAATTTGAGACGCAAACAGATCCGCAACGCGTGTAAAAACAGCCCAAACAAAAGTGTCTCTAATGACATAAATATACTTACTTTTGTGTTTGCCTGAGCTCCAGGACTGTTTGGTCAGGCTGGGGCTGCGAATGAAAGCCCTTCTGGCTGATTTCAGCACATCCATGGCGAGTTTAGAAGCGGTGAGGCGTCTTCAGGTGCAGCTTGCTGGCCATGAACTACGGCTTCTCGCTCCCTCAACTTTGTTGTTGGCGTTTGGATGCCGACATCTGTGGAAATACTTGAACCTCCTCGTCTTCTGGGCGGCGCTTCACCTGTCAATCAAAATGACGTGCGAATTGCGCGGCGCACAGATTCTGTTTCCATGGCAACTGGGTTAAACAATGAAATGAAGCTTGGTAAAGTTGATCGCTTTTTATATGGCCGTGTTCGAACCTTAGCGTATATATCTTCATATATTGACTGGTAAGTAAACATTCATCAGTTTTAGGACACATGGCATAAAAATGACCATGAGATCCTATAATATCATATTTGGCGCCCTCGTGTGGATAATAGAAAAATTCAGCTTGTTTTGACAGCATTACAGCCTGTTTTGATCAGGGAAAAATCACTCTCTAACTAATATACAACTTGTCCATATTAAAACATGAAAGTTGTGACTGAACTCTTTTCTCCCGATCCCCAATTTTTCAACCTAATTCAAATATAAAGCTGGTTGTTTTTAATTCACAAAATTGGAGAGAAAGATTCTGTAACAGAATATATATATATATATATATATATATATATATATATATATATATATATATATATATATATATATATATATATATAATATATATTTGAATAAATATGTATTGTATAAAATCAAAGAAATTGGGTGTCACACACATGTGCTATAGGTAAATTGAATAAACTAAAATGGCCATAGTGTCTGTGTGCAGTGTATGGGTGTTTCCCAATGTTGGATTGCCACTGGAAGGGCATCTGCTACCTAAAACATATGCTGGAAAAGTTGGCAGTTCATTCCGCTGTGGCAACCCCGGATTAATAAAGGGACTAAGCCGAAAAGAAAATGAATGAATAAAAATGTCATCATGTAAAAATCATGTAAAAAAACTATTACAATAATTTATTCAACTTTCTTTAATTTATTGACAATATTTAATCATGTTTTATGAATACTATAATTGTTAATTAAATATAATATATTGATTTTAGGTCATTTTGCTTTCCCAGATGTGGGGTCTACCTTACCTGACAAAAGTCTTGTTGTGGATCCTAGTTGTAGGCAACAAATACTAACTTGGCTTCTTGTTGTTCATTAGGAAAAGTGGCAGAGTTTCTCTGATGATTCATCTGTTGAACTGCATCCCGATCATCACAAATACTGCAGAAAACCTATTGGAACCTGCATGGAGCCAATACTCTTACAGTATCAGTTAATTTTGGTAAATGAAAAATCATGGTTTGGAGTTACATTCGTTATGGGTGTGTGTGAGATCTGCAGAGTGGATGGCAACATCAACAGCCTGAGGTATCAAGACATTTGTGCTGCCCATTACATTACAAACCACAGGAGAGGGCAAATTTCAGCAGGATAGCACTTCTTCTCATACTTCAGCTTTCACGTCAAAGTACCTGAAAGCAAAGAAAGTCAAGGTGCTGAAGGATTGGCCAGCCCAGTCACCTGATATGATCATTATTGAACATGTCAGGGGTAGGATGGAGGAGGAGGCATTCAAGATGAATCCAAAGAATCTTGATGAACTCTGGGAGTCCTGCAAGAACACTTTCTTTTTCATTCCAGATGACTTTATTAATAAGTGATTTGAATCATTGCAGAGGTATAGATGTAGTCCTCCAAGCTCATGGAAGTCATACACAATATTAATTCTTCCTCCCCTGCACCATGACTTTATTTTCTATACTGCACATTATTTCTGTTAAATGACAAGACTTTTGTCTGAGCAAAGTCAGACCTCACTGTCCAAATTAAATAATTAAAAATCAAGGCATGATCATATTTTATTTTTGTAAAATAAGCGTAATCTAGAGGTCTTTGCCTTTCCTATAAGCCACTTCTGATACTAACTGATTAACCAGAAGTCAAGTTATTATTTGTTGTTCATAAAACTTGAATTGGCGACAAGACTTTTGTCAAGTAGTGTAAGTACATTTTAGCACAGCTGATACCTTTTATAGTTTATAGTCCATATTAGTAAATATTAGATTGTAGTATTTTTGTTGTAAATATACATAACACTAACACTCTAATAAGGAATTTAAAAAGTAGTCATTTTAATATGATAATCTGTTGAAGTGTTTGAAAAGATGTGTAAATTATGATTTCCCGTGTAAATATAAGTGTAGTATTGCATTTATACAGTATTTGAAGGGAAGAAAAGCAAATTCACTGAGAAACAAAGGCGTGTTCTTTACTCTCCACAAAGTTTACCATAAAAACACCAAATGTAATCCACAATAATACTTTCCCAAGGTAGACAAATAAAAAAGAAAGTCCTGTTGTAAAACAAGGACTAAACCAAACAAGCATATTTTGCCTGCATCATGACACACAACGCAAACCACTGAAGAAGAAATGTGAAGTTTGTGATGAAGCATTTATGGGCTGATTCTAGACGTCACTGCAATGATGTCTCAATGTATAGTTTGCATTATTCCAATGTCATCAAATAAAGGGGAGGAAAAGTTGGCACATTTTTTACAAAATCAAACTATTGAGAGAGTATTATCAATTCTGATAAACATGTTAATGTAAATTAGAGGCATGACAAGTGAATAGAGTTTGCGGTTACCTCTATGTTTCTTTTTCCCTGACAAACATATGGCAACAAGAAGACAAATTATTTTTAAAGGCATAGTTCACCCAAAAAATTAAACTTTACTCACCATTTACTCATCCTCCATTTGTTCCAACCATTTACGAGTTTATTATTTACTGCCAAACACAAAATAAGACATTTTGAGAATGTTGGAAACTGGTATACATTGAAATCCATAGTGAAAACAAGAATCCAATGGAAACCAATAGTTACAGGTTTCTAACATTCTTCAAAATATCTTAATTTGTGTTCAACAGGAAAAAAGAACCCAGATTGGAACCATTTGAGGGTTAATAAATAATGACAGAGGTTTATTTTTGACTGAACTGTCCCTTTAAAAGCAAAAGAAAAATAATCAAGTCATGTGGTACTCTGACCAATCAGAACATGGCATGGGAGGTGTGTGAGATCATATTAAACAAGATATTTCAAGGCACTGTGTAACATAACAACTGGCAAACAAGACATCATATGTTCAGCTTTTTTAACTGGCTTCAACTAAGTTCTATTCAATTTTTGTCCTGGAAACAAAAAGGACTTGCATTGACCGCAAAATACAACAACATTCCCGAATATTTATGCAGCATTTTTGTCAACAAATACAATGTAAAGATCAGTCCCTTTTTTTAAAGACATGGGTTCTTTCGTGTCTTTATCCTGGCAAACAGCTTCCGGAGGAACAGAAAACCTGGTTTATAGAAACCCAGAAAAAATATTCAGTATTATAGAAGATTGGTTCTGCCACAGAAAAAGAAAAAATAGTTTCTTCTACATTTTACAATTCAAGCTATTTTTCTCCTCAAAGTTCTTGCAGAATTCTTGTAAAACTTAGCAAATGTTCAATTTTGAAATAAACACAACTGTAAGTTTATATATTTTGATTGTGAGGGGGAATAATGTCATTTAAAATGCAAAACTGTCAAAAGCTTTAATAAAAAAAAAAAAAATAGATTTTTGAGATATAAACTCAAAACGATTAAACTCACAATTATTATTTTTATGATTATTTTTTCAGAAATCTCACCTTTATGTCCTCAAAATTCAAAATTTAAATCTCATACTTACGCCTTTTCTTTTTTCTCTATCTTGAGAAATAAAAAATCCAAAACGTAAAAGTCAGAAATGTAATTTAGGTATTGCAATGGAAAAAAGAATTGTGCATAAACATATTTTTTCATCCTGTGGCAGTACCAGGCTTCCATAGAATTACGATCCAAAATCTGTAATGAAAATTCTTTCTACCTCCCCAAAACAAAGAGATGTACAATACTACGGTCAAAATGAAACTGAAATGCATTCTTAACCACTTCATCGGCACAAACACATTTTCAACCACAAATACTTCCGTCTCATCTCCTTTTCCCTTTTCTTTTTTTTTTTTTTTACATTCAATAAACTTAAAGATGGTACGTTTACACCAGGGAAGTAAAAAAAGAAAGTCATGCCACCATTGTCTGGCACATAAAACTGTTCAACACAAAGATGGAGGAGGTACTAATAAAAGATCTTAATAAAGACCTCACAAAATGAACGTAGGATGACAAGAGAACCACAAGTGGCTTAAGTGCCGTTATCGAAAACTTGTTTTTTTTTCAAAAATAACCTTAAAGACAAAAAGGGCAGTTCTGGTCAAATCGTCATCCCTTTTCCCCCTTATTTTATTCTCCTTCTCTAATCATCCACAACAAAGAAGAGTCATACTAACAGAGGAGGGGTAAATCAAACAAAAATACTACCCCATCCCATTGGTTTGCATACTGAACTTTAGTACAAATCAAACAGCAAACTGGACGATGTGTGTGGACATTCACTTCTTGAGCGGCTGGTAGACGGAGGCATTGGGGTCCAAGCTGGAAGGACTGGTGTCCATGAACTTGGAGGAGTAATGTGGGGTCACAGGGGTCATGTTGTTGGTCTCCGCCGAGTAGGTGATGCTTGGCATGACTGCCATGACCTCTGCGATCTTCTGCTTCAGCTCTTTTATCTCCTGCTCCTTCTGCAGAATCTGACCTGTGAGGAGGTTAAAAAAGAGGAAAGCTTTGTGAGAGATGTATTATATGTTAACATTAGAGATGGGCAGGCTTCTGCCCGTATCAAATTCTCTTGTGATTGAAGAAGCTTTTATAATGTGTTAATCACAATGTTGACCTATGCAGCAAAAATAAGAGTTTATTCATAAACTAATTTCGAGAGGATCATGCGATTATGATTGAACACGGCTGGTTCTGCATTAGCATGTATGATCCACCGATCAGGCCATTCCTAACTCGCTATAAAGGGTTTTTACAGTCAACTTCGATTTGAAGAATCCCCCCATCCACCCCTACCTCTTCACCTCTCCCTCTATAGGGTGGCACGGTGCCCCAGTGGTTAGCACTGTTGCCTAATGGCAAAAACGTCACCGGTTTTAGTCCTTTAACAGACTGTCTGTCGTTTCTGTGTGTAATTTGCATGTTCTTCCTGTGCTCCCGAGGGTTTTCCCCAGGTCTTCTGGTTTCCTCCCACATTCCAAAAGCTGGCACAACAAGTGAATTGATCAAATCTAAATTTAGCACTACAGTCAATCTCTCATCCAGCAGCATATCTATTCATAGCATTTATTTTAGTTATCAGCTCTTATCAAGGGGGAGTTGTCGAGATCTACCTGAGCTCAAGGCTCCGCTCTCGTCCTGCATATGGGAGGGAGCCCAGGGCTCAAGGACCTTTTGAGCTCGGGGCTCTCTCCCAGGACAGTATGCCAAACTTGCTTATAATCAATCATCAGCTAAGTGTGAACTGTTGAAAGATTATTTTAATAGGTATAATAACCAAATAATACTCAGTGTATTGCTTTGTATATTATGTTTATAAACGTTATTAAATTGCAAAAGCATTATAAAGTGCAATAGGTAACACTTCAAAATAAAGTCTCATTATTTAATGTTATTTTCCAGTGATGGGTTGCAGCTGGAAGGGCATCCGCTGCGTAAAACATACGCTGGATAAGTTGATGGTTCATTCCGCTGCAGCAACCCCAGATTAATAAAGGGACAAAGTCAAAAAGAAAATAAATGAATGAATGAATGAATAATAAATGTTAAATCATTAAAGGGAACCTATTATGCCCCTTTTTGTCCCTAAATGTGTATGTGAAGTTTCAGCTCTAAATAACACACAAATAAGGTTTTATAACTCTTAATAACTGCGCCTCTTATAGGCTTTGATTTTAAATGTCGAATTTTGGGGACTGCCGCTTTAAATTCAAATGAAATTGTGCAACACCTGTTTTCAAAAGAGGGTGGAGCCACAAATACCTGTGTCAGCATAGTGGCAGATTCAAAAGCAAGACTAACATCAAATGCTAATGAGGGAGGGAACACTAATGGGTGAGACTTTCCTGCTCTGATTCAAAGGGAGAATGCCAAAATCAAAGTGTTTCATTCTGCAGACTGTTTTTATGAAGTCTGATTATAAAAAATAAAATTTTATTGTTTTATTATAAATGCAACGGTGTTTAAACCCCTTATAAAAGTAATTTTTTGCATAACATGTCCCTTTAATATCAACAGCGAAAATAGCCACATTATTTAAGTTAATTTAAAAAAGTAAAAGTTAAATCTAAGTTAATTTAATAAAATAATTATGATTTAATATTTCAATGCATTATTAGGCAATAACATCACCTAAGGTTAATAAATGAGTTTGTAGTTTTTGTTACAATGACTTTAGTTAAAATAACTGATGTTAACAAATGGACACCCTATTGTACAGTGTTAACAAACAAAATTCCTATAAATAGCCAAAATATCTTCAATGTTGTAGGCCAGATTAACTTGTTTATGTTTAAAAATAAGCAGCCTATTAAAGGGATAGTTTACACAAAAATTGAAATTTACACACCCTCAAATGCTTCTAAACCTTTATCAGTTTCTTTCTTGTATTGAACACAAAATAGATACTTTGGAAGTCAATGGTAACATGCTTTCAGCATTCTTTAAAGTAGAAAAAACAAATACTATGGAGGCCAATGGTTACAGGTTTTCAGAATCATTCAAAACATATTCTTTTGTGTTTTCCGGAAGAAATAAACTTATAAAGGTTTAAAAAGTAAAGGGTGAGTAAATAATGACAATTTTAATGTTTGGATGAAGTCTTTAAGCATTTAGTGCTTTAATGAACGACTTCTGCAAATACAATAATCTGAATATACTTAAAAGACACTATTTAAGTTTAAATAAATAGTTATTCACCATATTTTGAAGTGCCAGCGATACCAATATTGTGCATGCTCATTATCACAATACACAGAATTATTGAATATTGGCAAACGTTTAGGGGTGGTTAACAAAAGAAGTGAAGATGATTACAATTTAAATTGCCACTGACAAAACATGCACAAAAACACTGACTATCATGATCCTTTTAAAAGAATATTCTAGAGATTGGAACTGTCATTACGTATTAAACTGCACCATGGCATTGTGAATGGAGAGAGATGCATATGAATTTCATTATATTATTAATGCAGACATGTTGTAAATGTATTGAAGTAATGGAATACAATTACAGTAATTATAGTATTTGTTTTTACAAATAAAAGCATTCAGGTTTGTCTTTTTCAAACATTTACTATAGAATCCATATATTTGCGTTTCAAGTTGCAAACTATGATTATGTATATTTATTATGGATGTCAGAGTTTAATTTTAATAGCGTTAACTTTTGAATACTTTACAGATCGTTTTAATGAACAGAAATTCACATCTGCATTGTTCTAAATTCAGTGAACAAAACAGATTTAAGAGTTAGCCAAATGTCAAATTCAAAGCTTCACCAGCTAAAATAAACAAGGCGCTGCTGTGCTTTGCATAATATTAAAATAGTTGAATATAATTTATGAATTTTATAGCCAATTTTGAGAGGAACAACGAATAATATAACTCATATTTGGACAAGAAACTAAAAAGTCTTCGAAGCAGTCCTTTTGTAGCCTAGGCTCTTGAACATTTGCATTTTCCTGGCATGTCTGCCTGAGTTAACAGGTACAGCTTGGTGACTGTCAGATAAAGAAGAATAAAATAGTGCTAAAAAAAAGCCTAACCATAACAATAGGCAAAACGTGTGAATCAATCTATATATCCATCAATCTACCTTATGAATACAATTCTCTGATTTTCGCAAAGATCTATTAAGGCTGGGGGATTGATCCTAAAATCATAATCTCGATTAATTGAACTTTTTAACCCAATTATGATTAATGAACGATTATTGTATTTATTTATTTATTTGCCCTCAAGTTTAGTCCAGTAAATATGCTCAAATATTACAAGTGGGAGATTTTTTAATGAAGGGTGCAGTACTTGATTTTAAAACAATTTAAGGAAACACACACTATCTACTATCTATGATTATGTATTATCTATGATTAGTTGTGTAAATTGCTTCATTGTCCTCATTTGTAAGTCGCTTTGGAAAAAAGCGTCTGCTAAATGACTAAATGTAAATGTATTGAACATCAAAACTGAACAAATGAAGTTAAAACTGCACATTACCTAAAACAAACTTTTCCTATAAAATGTAAAAAACAGGAAAAGTTCATTATTTTTCATAATGTTTTTCGTATTAAAAGTAGAAAATAAGCAGTATGTCTTCTAAATAAAAAAGTCTTGAATATCCTGTAAATGTTTAAAATGTGCATTTCTTGAATATTCTGTAAACAAATATTTTAATCTAAATAATCATTTTAATGTAATGGAATATTTGTCATCTCAAGGTATCTTAAGCGCAGCTTCCAATCATTAGCAATGTAGTGCAAAGTAAGGCTTAAGAAAAACTGTAGGATGTGAATTGTTTTTGTCAATCTGTTTTTTTCTGGGTGGATGTTTTTTTTTTTATTGATGGATCTCATGTGAATGAGAGAATGGATGGTGTTTGGTGGTTTTTGAATGCATCTAACCACATGAGTGTTAAATCATTCAATTCAATGCTGAAAGCTGCAAAACAGTCATCAGTAACTAAATGGCAAAATAATATACATCTCAATAAAGAATGACAAAAAAAAAATAATAATAAGAAAAGTCTCACTTCTGCCATGCTTTAAAAGTTTTGATATCGGTTTGTCATTTTAAATGCTCAGTCTCGTTATGAGCTGATCTTCATTTTTCTGTGTTTGTGGAAAGCATGCAGGCGAATCAGCCGCACCAATTTATGAGCAGGCAGAGCAGGATTCTCGCGATGACATCCGGCGCAATACCGTTCTTTGTTATGGGCCGAAGTTTCACTGTAAACTCAATAAAGGCAAGCTTCTTTGCCGATGATGTGTACAGTATTAGATTTTACATTTAGTGGACATTTGCACTAAACACGCAGTGAATGCAACGCATCAAGATTTGGGCACCTTCTCCGAAAACACTTGATTGATCTCAGCTGACAGATTGACCACATGTCATGATCGCTCTCATCTGCGCCATTATTTGTAAGTTTAGGTGGGGTTTGCAAACCTGTGTATTTTTCACTCTTCAGCCGTTTGCATTTCCCTTGGTCACAAAAGCTCCCAGTCATCTGACAGAGGAAAGCCTTGAGTGATTGACAGCTAATATTAACCAATGTAGTGGCGGGGAAGAGGGATTCAGCACATTTTTAGACAAAATCAAAACAGGTCGCACTACACCCATTATATGCAGTCGCACACATGCTCCCAAATATATTATAAGGTCGCATAGATTAAATTTCAGAAGCATATACGTCCAAAATGGTCACAATTTCGAGCCCTGCTACCACTGTATTTAGATCAGAAATGCCCAAACTAGGGCCTGTGGGCCAAAGTTGGCCCATGGTAACCATTGATTTGGCCCACCATCCCATCTGAGAAAAATGGGAGAATTATGTGAAAGGTTTCAAGCTCGTCAATTCAAATTAAATGTAACACTTAAAATTGTTTGTTTTATTGTTAAAAGCTAACTGAAATGTTTTATTTAAATCATGTAAACTAATCAGATTTTGTTAAAATTTACACCTGACAATGCAGCGACTTTGGTGAGCAAGTCAAAGTCAAAGTCAGATTCTGTTTGACAAGTGTATTGAACTTCACTGTGTTATACATGTGATTGTTTGATAAGCTATCATATAAAAAGTTATACTGCATAAGTTAATATGATTGAAAGTAAGGTTTTATATTTAGATTGAAATATTATGAAATAAATTACCCATGGCAACTTTAATATAATTTAGTTTGGTATATTTACTTTCAGCCCACGGCTTTCAATAATATTTGTTTTTTGGCCCTTCATACGGAAAAGTTTGAGCACCCCTGATTTAGATGCACTTATTATGGGGTTGATGAAAATGCATCTTGATAGCAGTTGTAAACAGAGCCTTAAGAAGCACAGACCTTGAGCAATCTCCAGCTGTCTCTTGGCATCTCCGAGTGCTGAAAAGAGGTCCAGTTTGATTCTGGTTTCAGCACTCAGGCTGTTCTCCAAGTGCTGGGTCTTGTCCTGCATGGCTGAAAGTGCTGACATCAGAACCTCTGTGTCCTTTTCATTCTCCTTATATTTGTGCAACTCCTACACACAGAGAAACAGAGAGGGGAATTTAATATGGTACTTCTAAACAAAGAAAATAGTCAAAACACTCAAAATGACAAAAAGCAACAACAACAACAACAACAACAAAAAACATTCAGCATATATGCATTAAGACAAATTAATATTTGAAATTGTATTCATCTGAATATTCTAAAGCTGATTCAAGACCAGCAAGAGTTTGCAGCTGTAAAAAAATACATATTCTGCTTACCACATTAACCATTGATTCTCAAAGGCTCCATTTTAACGATCTAATCACAAAGTCTAAGGCAGGGGTTTTCACACTGGGGGCCGCCAGATGGCGCTAGGGGGGCCGCAAAGAAATTTTAGATGAGGGGTAATCAATGGGCCCACATGGATAAATTTTGTGTCCCGCATCATTCTGAAGGTTAATATATTTCATATTATAATTTGAGCTCAAAAGTACTGCAAAAATTAAGCTTTATGCTTATGTCATTTAAATGCAGTTGACAATTTCGTGACACAGGAAAAGAAGCGCAGCGGCCCGCCTCTGTGCACGGGGACTTTTATTGAATAAGCGCTTCTTGCCGGGCGCTTCCTGTGATTTTTGGCGCTTGTCTGCTGCACCTGACGGCGTTTATCTTTCACTATATTTCACTACTTTTTGTCCTTGACTATATTTCAGTTAAAGTATGTGATCAATAAGAACATTATCGGTGGTTGAAAGCACTTCCCTATTTATGGCTTGCGTTGCCAAGTAACCAATCAGCTGGATGCTGCGAAGTGCGCGCCTCTATGCGCAGGCTTTACTCATAGGGAACAAAAAGCATTTTAAAGACGCGGCACAACATTGCACCTCATCCACAGTGCGACAGGCTTTACACTTTGCATTGTACAAATATCAGACGGTGGTCCTCTTTGCAGCATGGCAAACAAACATATTAAAATTGAAAAGCAAAAAGTGCTGCAATTACAATGAATGGAGCTGTCATCACATCAGCGAGTTCTCAGAGTTTCACTCCTGTTACACTAATGACAGCTGGATGAGCTCTGCAGTGGACCTTTTACTCAAATTGGTTCATAACTGGATGATTAAAAAAAACTAAATTGTATACACTCTGAGTAAAACCACTATAGCCTATAAAATTATAATGTATCTGTTTGTGTTATGTTATAGGGCTAATTAATTATTAAATATTAAAATGTATTAGTGCTCTGTATTTAATGGAGCTCAACATATCTGATCAAATTAATACTCTGAATATAAATGCATTTTTTCCAAGATGTTAATCCACTTTTTCCCATATTTATTTGTGTAACTAATTTAAATATAATGTTCAGTATTATTATTAATAGAACAAACTGGTATGACATTTTAAAGTCTAAAAAAAATATAAAAATTATGCAAAGTAAAATTTGTGGCTCTTTGAACTTGAATAGCCAATTCTAGATTGCATTTAGGAAATTATTTTTTTATCAGTGTAAGTCAGGATTGTCGACCTGAGTAAATTATGATGTGCACAAAAAAAGGAATAAAAATAAACAAAACACACTGAACCACTACAGCCTCCATTGTAGTATTGAATTTACAACAGTACAGTTAACTGTTAACAGGCTGATGAATGACAAAACTCTTTAAAACTTTAAAGCTTTAAATCTTTATATACATTTAGACTCTCAGCTGTAAGGGTAAATACAGAAGAGTCTAGCTGTGCATAGGCAGAAAAAAAGCATAAAAATGGCATAAAAACTGTGTAAAGTGACAACTTGTACACAAAATATGGCTTGATGGAATCCAGTGAGAGCAGACCACAATGAACACTGTGCATGAAGATCTGATCAACAGACTGAATCACTGAAACCATGTCAACTTAACTAATATCTTACAAAAATTAATCCAGATAATGAATAATATAAATGTATTGAATAATATATAACAATATAAATGTATTGAATAATACAATTTCAAAAAATTAAAGTACAGTTGCTTATTTGAGGGGGTGGCATCATTTTTTTTTTTGAGGGTCCCCAAAAGAATTCGCCCTACACAAAGGGGCCCTCAGCTGAAAAAGTTTGAAAACCCCTGGTCTAAGGCACTTGGCACAAAAGCATTAAGGGGTGTGTCAAATCCACTTTTGCTATTTTAGGGACGGAAAAATAAGGAAAAATAAGTTTTGTGCCACGGCACATGGTCTAACAAGGTTGTGCTTATTCTCAGAGTCTCATCTTCTATTCCATTAAAGAGTCAGTTGTGTCACGCCGAGGCGCATTTGCTATCTTCATGTCGGACTTTGTAAGTGGAAAAACTGAACACTTCACCAGTAAGAAAACAGTTTTCCTCTGCAGCATAAGGATAAAGAATGAGCCTTCTCTCTCTCTCTTTACTTTTACTCTTTACTCCTTTACTTTTGTAGATAAGAAAAGGTGCAAATTGTCATAAATAAAGGCAAGGCCCCTGAGACAAGGCATGGTGGTAGTGGTTTTTATATTTATGTAGAATATAATACTTTTCGTAACATTTTAATCCTTAATTTTTTTCATATATATTTATATATATTTATGTATTCCTTTACATCCTGTGTGTATTAAGCAATGTGTATGTGTTTGAACCCACATAGGTGCATAACTAACGCGCTCTGTGCTGGATTTAGACCTGCTTTAAGATGATCAATGACGCAGTGTATTTCAATTCTTCAAAATAGCAATGCGCCAACAATGTGCCTTAACACACCTCTATTTCAGATCAGCACACCCACGAGTCTCCAAAGTGCTGCAAAACGGATTTGCCATTTGAACAATGCAGTGCAAAATGGGAAATTTAGGTTTGCGCTGGTCAGGAAATAGTAACAAATTATGCCAAAAATGCTTATTGCTCCGGGTGTATGATAGGGTCCTGAAACTTAAAAAAAAACTGCATATGCAAATAAAAGCTTATAGTGTGTACCTGGTTTTATAAACATCAGCCGAGATAAACGATTATTGCATCATATACCGCCCCCTTTGCAGTTGTACACATTTGTTGCTCTAGACCTTGTGCTTCTGTGTGTGACTTTTGTAGCTAAAGTGTTTTTCTTACAGTAAAGAAGCTTAAAGCACAGTTTGTTTCATATTCTTATTCTATTGTATTTATTTTTCTTTCCTTTGCAGGGTGGAAAATAACATAACATGTTTATATACAGTTGAAGTCAAAATTTTTAGCCCTTCTCAATATTAGCAACCCTTTTCCCCCCAATTTCTGTTTAAATGAAAATAAGTTTTTTTTCCCATATTATTTCTGAAGATAATAGTTTTGATATCTCATTTCTAATGACTGAATTCTTTTATCTCTGCTATGATGACAGTACATAATATTTTACTAAATATTTTTCAAAATACAAGCATTCAGATTAAAGTGCAATTCAAAGGCTTAATTATGGTAATTATGGCAAGTCATTGTATAACAGTAGTTTCTTCTGCAGACAATCAAAAACATATTGCTTAAGAAGGCTAATAATATTGACCTTAAAATGGGTTTCAAAATATTTAAACCTGCTTTTATTCTAGATAAAATAAAACAAATAAGCTTTTCTCCAGAAAAAAAAAAATATTAGAGGAAATACTGTTAAAATTCCTTGCTTTGTTAAACAGCATTTGGGAAATATTTAATTTCCCAAAAAAAAAAAAAATTATCAGGAGCGCTATTCATTTTGAATTCAACTGATAATCGTTTGGAATAATCGTGATTACAATTATGACCAAAATATTCGTGATTATGATTTTTCCCAAAAATCGAGCAGCCCTATTTGAAAGCCTGTGCATAATCTATAACCAAAAAATAGTATTAATAATAATAATAATAATAATAATATAATAATAATAATAATAATAATTCACAATATAACGGGTTTTACTGCATTTATATATAAAAAATACTTTTGCTAGTTGTTCAAACTACTTATTTAAAAGGAGTTAAAACCTGATTGTTTTATGTTCAATCCACTTAAATTTTTAAAAACTATCAAGTTAACTTAATTTCTTTATGTTCCCCTAACACAAATCCATTGTGTGGAACCCAGCATATTTAAAAGTGTAACTTGAATAAAGTGTAACTTGAATAAATTTTAGCCTTGGAAAGCATTAGACTTCTTTTAAAACGGTTTAAAAAAAATCTTATAAATAATTCCAAACATTTTTTTTTATTATTTGTAAAAGGTCAATATAACATATTAGTGTTCTGGGACAATTACACACCAACATTATTAATAAAAAATCTAGTCTAAAAGCTCAGTGTCATTCAACTCACTGAATGCTTGGTTCTAAGATAATGCTCTTGGTAAAAGAATGCTGAAGGAGGATTTCGGGCTTACTTGTGCTTTGAGCTCGAGCTCTCTGATCTGTTCCTCCTTCAGCTTCATGTCGTGTGTGAGCTTCTTGCACTCGGACTCCAGCTCACGTATGCGACTCTTCAGCGAGTCTGTGCACTCTCCTCTGTGAAAGAAAAGACAGTCAAGCCCACCGGCACAAACACATAACAAAACAAGGTGCATTAACACACAGAGCTGCACACTATCATTTGAAGTCTATTGCATTAAAATAGTCACACTTTTGGGGTTTAGAGGTGTCAGTTTCCACAAATTTGCCATTTAAATTATCAATCAATTAAACATGAAACGTGTCTACTTCAGTGGCACTTGCCAGGATGTGCAAATGACACTCAAAAAGCATCCAACCATCATAAAAGATTACAGAAAGAATCAATGACTTCTAATTTAATAAAAGCTTTATGTAGATTCATGTAATAGAAGCATATTTATAAAGCTTCATTGGTGCTGTAAGCTGTTAAATCTAAAGTGTAAAAATACTATAATATGTTTGCAGATATTACGCCAAGTAAACATGCTTATCTGAAAAAAAAATCCTAAAGTTAAGTGTGTTCTACTTTGAAAAGGCATGTTCCAGTCAGAATATCGGCCTTTGTTTTGGTCAGTTTAACTCAGTCCACTGCTAGTTCACCCAACTATAAATTTCAGCACATAAGTTGCTTTGATGGAAAATACAGTGGGCTCTATTTTAACAATCTAGGTGTATGGTCAAAACGAATGCCGCAGGTTCACTTAGGGTGTGTCTAAATCCACTTTTAAGGATAGAAAAAAAAAAAAAACAGTCTGTGCACCAGGCGCATGGTTTAACAGGCATGTCCTTATTCTATTAATGCATTATGGGTGTGTTTTAAGCATAATGTGGATTAAACCAATTAAGAGTCTCATGTTCCATTCTCATGTCAGTTATGTCACATTTGTTATTTTGTAAGCAGAAAAACTGAATGCTTAACTAGAGAGAAGACAGTTAAAGACCATCTGTGCAAGGTTAAAGACCATCTACAGAACAATTTGGGAATCTGGTAGGAAAAGCACTCTCCCGAAGACATCCTTTAAATATTTTATTTTGTAATTTAGTTTAAGCATAAAGATTTGTATCAAAACTATTTCTAAATTAATTTCTAATTTCCAGCAAATTAATAAATGAACAATAATAATAAGGTGTGAAAACGGGGTTATATCTATACACACTTTCTATTCCTATGCCCATCTGCTGATGCATATAGCTTTAAAACAAAGGCAAATCTAAACAAAAAGTTATTAAAACAAATATAATTCAGCAAAAAATAAATAGAATTTTGGATAGCATTCTGCAATAAATAATAAAACACTAAACAAATGTAAATTGTCATGAATAAACTGACTACAGAAGGGCTGGATTACGCCAAAGCTCCCTGAGGTGATAGCAGGTTAGAAGGTAGTGTTTTTGCTGTTTATGTAAACAATAATATATATTTGTTTAACATTTTAATCCTTTCAATTTTTATACTTAATGCCTTACAGCAAGAAGTTGGCATTTCTGTGTGAACTTTGCATGTTCTCCCCGTGTTCATGTGGGTTTCCTCTGACTGCTCCAGTTTCCCCTCGCAGTTCAAAGAAATGCGGTATAGGTGAATTGGGTAATTAAAATTGATCTTAGTGTATAAGTGTGAGTAAATGAGTGTGCATGGGTAGCTGGTGGTTCATTCCACTGTGGCTAAGCTGAAGAAAAATGAAGGAATGAATATTGAAAAGATATACGAAACATTGCAATGCATCCCTGTGTGTATGAAGTAATGTGTACAGATGTTTTGGATTTTCATTGGTGCATATCACTAAAACTCTCTTTAAATAATAAATGAAAACCCTGCACTACTGACTTTAGACCAGCTTTTAGTTGGTCAATGGTGCATTTTATTTCAGTTGCCTCAAAATAGTGACGCTCCAACAATGTGCAGAAAGCGCGTGGCAGAAAATACAACCTGTAGGGGACAGTAGCAGTCTCCAAAATGAGCCGCAGACTCAAAGTTATAAAAATCCAGATGATGCATTTTTTTAATTAGCAAAAAATAGAAACATTACAAACATAAACATTAGCTGAGCAGCTTACATTGTAAGGCTCAATTGTCAGACACACTTGCTCCTGTGGGTGTCGTCAATTTGCAAACTGTCAATCCTTCATACTGTTTCCTTCATGATCAATTTGAATGTCTAATATCCACCTTTTTCTCATGCCCCATGATGCTTTTGCGTAAGTTGAGGGAGTAATGTCCTGTGATGGTAACTGTAAACCATCTTTCAAGTGATTTGAAAAAAACTGGTTACAATGTATTCTCATTAATTTATTACTTCCTTTTAGCAGACAATTCATAATCCCCAAGTCAAGTCTTTCTGAAGCTCAAGCAGTGAAGTCTTTTTACCACAGATGTGCTCATGATATTTTGGTGAACTGTGTGTCTCACCTGGATGCAGCAGCCAGAGCGACAGCACGTGCGGCTGTGGCCTCTTCCATCTTCTTTCTTTTCTTTTCTTCTGCAAGCTGCTTTTCCACTGCGGCTCGAGCTTCCTGTTCCGCCTTGAGCCGCTTCTCCAGCTGCACAATGGTTTGCTTGTCCTTCTGCTTGGCTTGCACAGCATTATGGAGTCTAAAGACAGGGATGCAAATAAACAGTTTTTCTTTTTTATATAAAATTCTATTTCATTTTAAATTACTTACTTTATTTCAGTTATTTTTGTACTTGAACTTAAAGGAATGTGTTGTTACATAAATATTTGTTTTCAACATTTTATTTTAGATGTTTTGAACAACCACACGCATTATTTAAATAGATTTATTTATTTATTTATAGATTGGATTTTTATAATAGTTGTAAATTAGTGTCATTCTGCAAAACTTTATTATGTGCTTGTCTTTTTAATTTCTATTTAGTTCTTTTAGTTTTAATAAGTTTAGTGACAAACTTGTTTTAATGACAGGTGGTTGCAATAGCAACTTGACAAAACAATAATAATTTAATTACACTTTAAAAAAAAAAGCATTTTGTTAAATAGTTTTATTTGTTTCAATCTAAAAATCAAAACAAAAAGTGTTTCAGGGGTAATTAATGTATCAGTGCTCTTTGGATAAGAGATTCATAAAGATAAACAACAAAGGCCCAAGTCCAAAGCACACAAACAGTGAAAAAAATAGAACAGCCTATATAAATATGACTATTATAGATAATGGTTTTAAAATAATAGCCATGTTAAAGGAGCAGTATGCAAGTTTGACACCCAGTGGTTGAAGTAGGTATTGCATGTCCGGTTTAAAAACGCATGCAAGTGCAGGTTGCCAGACTGACCTTATCAGCAGCCTGACTATCGAGCCTAAAGGCTGATTTAAGTTGTGTTCTAAATAAAAGCAACAGCACACGATATAAGGAATATTTTCCATATTAAAAGGAGTATTTGTCCTAACCAACACCTGAAATTTATATTTTAGGAATGGCTTTTATTTCTTGCAGCTGAACAACTAGATAAACTGACAACGATCACCTCAGGTACACCTCATGTGCTTTATTTATTGTTAATTGCTAATACTTTGAGTTTGAATGCCATTTTACATGGCATTTATTGCCATTCAACTGAAAGCAGTAGCAGACAGTTTACCTCAGATCTTGAAAATAAAATAAACCGTTTGAAATTGAACTTCAGAACTGCGATTCAGCATGTACATTTAATAATGTTAAAGAGGTTTAATATGTGTTAATTAGATTATAAAGTGCAAAGACTGAAAGAAAATAAAAATCACTCTATCATATCAGGGCCTCTACAATCCAATCAAATCAGATTTCAATTACTTGTTCTGCAGCAGCTCATTTTCCTGTCGAAGCTGGCCGAGTTCAGAGCGCATGCTCCTTTCAGCACTGCTCAGAGAGCTGATCTGACTGCGCAGGTCCTGCTCCACCTGTCTGCTCGCCTGCAGGTCAGCCTTCAGCTTCTTAATATCCTGCTCAAGCCTGACAAACGCACACAAAACAAAAATAAACAGACTGAACACACACTCCAGCAGCCAAATCCCAACTTCTGCACGAGGAGTCTTACCGAACTAATGCATCAGGCTTACTGAGCTGGTTATTAGGTATACAGTTCTCCATCAAATCTCGATGTGGCGCAAGGTTTTTCCCTGTGCACTTCTGCTTTTTATCGCTTCTGTTGGATGAAGATGATGGTACGCTGCCATTGGTTGAGTTGTGGCTGCGTGGCGAGGAGTTTTTGTAATGTTTGGAGGGCGCAGAGCCTCCTCCGGCACCCACTTCCTCTTTCAGAAACAGGTTTTCGGCACTGCCGCCGAGCTCGTTGTTGAGTCTTTTAGCGTTTAGGTGGTTCTCCATGTACTCAATGTCTTGTAGTTTAGCATCTACAGTCTGTAGGATGTTGTTGTTTATTCCTATGCTGTGCTGCTGTTGCTTTTTGTCTTTTGCACTATCTTTGCCCTTCTCTTTGTATTCCAGTTCAGGCAGAGAGATGGGCAGTTTCTTGTTGATTGCAGTGCCGTTCTGAGCCACTAACACAGAGTCTGCTTCAGACATGCCTTTTGAGGTGGCTGCCAAATAAAGGAGAGACAGATTTTAAGGTTATGAGTTAAATGCTGTTTGACTTGTGTGTCTAGAAATTAAATTAGAAGTTGGAAAGTTTAATGCAAATCTATTGGCTATGTAGTACTATATAATATGACAGATAATAGTTTCTGCAGGATGTATAATGTGCAAAATATGGAAATTTTGTGAATGCGTGGAAAGGGCAAATAACAAACATTAGGCAAACTGTGTGGCATGTGCAGTGTAGAAAAGTATCCTTCAAATGCAGTGGACTAAAGTTGACCTTTCTTTACCAGTGTGATGAATGAACAATGTTAATCAAGCAGGGCTGGGTTTTCATGGCTACAATGTATTTGGTTTATGATGCTTTTGGGTAATGAAGCTCAGGGTGTTTACATTTTACCATATAAAATATTCATACTTATGATAGGTAGTATGTAATAACTAAACAGTAAAGTTCGTCGAGACAAACTTTGAGGCTGGCTTGACAAAGCCTGTTGGTAATAGTTTATTTAGTTTAAACAGTTTACTTAGCATGTTATTAGCACGATTCTAGCATGAATTAGCATGTTACTAGCATGATTCTAGTATGAATTAGCATGATACTAGCATGAATTAGCATGTTATTAGCATGATTCTAGTATGAATTAGCATGATACTAGCATGAATTAGCATGTTACTAGCATGATTCTAGTATGAATTAGAAACATTTAAAATCAATCACACTGTTACTCAAACAATAAGTAAATATTTTAAACACTCAAAAGTCTTGGAGATTTCGGTTTCTGATTGTAGTGTTATGCTAACAAAGACTACTTTTATATTTCATCAAACATGCTTTATACTTAGACATAATTTAATATACATGTTGAAAAAACTTCATCACGTGTCTTCAGCATCACATAATCCTTCAGTAATAAATTTAACAAGAGGATTTGGTGCCTTAAGAAACATTTCCTGAAGTTAACAGTTACTATCAAAATAGTTCAATTAAACAGCACCATTTTTTCTTTACTGGTAACTCTAAATAGCTTTACTACAACTTGAACAGATTTAATTTGTACTTGTGTAAAATAATAATAAAAAAAAAACACTACAACTATCTGTAGCTGGCGTTGCAAGTATATTAGATAGCATTTTATCAAGTAAAAAAAAATTGAAGATGAAAATGTATTAGCCATAAACCCTGCTAATGTAATGGAGCAGCAGCAATATGGCATTTCTTTTAGATATCATTGAGCAGCACTGCACCTGTAACACTAATATGCACAATAGGCCAAGATAAAACAAAAATGTTATAAAAACTTTTTTGAATACCACACCCCTCCCCTCTCCCCAACAATTCAACATTTTAAACTTTTCTTCCAAGACTATGTGAATAGTGATGTCAAAATTTATACAAAAGTCATCTCGAGCATGGGTCCCCCTCACCTTAGAATGTCAGTAAACCCTTGCGAGTAGCCTAATGTGGCGAAGGAGGCGAGACATGCACAGTTAATTAAAAATGTTTCTATTGTAACTATTTTAAAAGCTTACATCTGGCCAGCTTTCACTGCTTAAGAGTTTGCTGGAACTAAGGCTGTGCAGTATGGCAATACAGATGTCACCACTTCAAAACGTTTCCTCTGCCGCCATTCTTAATGCCGCCACAGAGGTACCTAGCTTTTGGTCACTGGGTGACACTTTAACCATAGGTTTTCAGCTTTGTCTTTTCTCAATAGAACGGTACTTTATGTGCACTATAGCCTACAGTACCTCATGATGTGATGTGTTCAATTAAAAATATAATTTTGTTTGTTTTAGTTTTCTTAGTAATAAACATGCTTTTACACTATACTGTATGTTTTAGAAAAGATACAAAAACTCAAAAATGAGGCAAAATGTAAGAATTAAGTTCTTTTGCCTTTAAAGTGCTCTATTAAATTGCATTGTGGTGAAAAGAATGTTTTGAATTCTTTGGCCATCATAGCGATGTTATTACCTCAAATCTTAAACGTGCGTAGACTGCAAAATATGAAAACCGCTCCACAGCACACACTACAAAATAAAATTAAGGTTATCGAGCCGATGAAACATCACCTGATTGCAGTATAACTTGCTCTATCAATAATTAGTATTTAGTATAGGCTAGGTTAAAAAAAAATATTTGACCATCTGCCGCTACATGCAAAACCTTCCCATGCACTTAAAATAGGTTCCCTTTTACATAGATAATAGAGGCAGTTATGAATTAAATAAATGGACATATCCGCAAGCAAAGTAAGCCGCATATTATTTATCTTCTGTTCATGTTTCTCTGTTCATTTCTCTTTCACGCATGAAGAAAAAAAAAAATTCTGCTTGGTTAAAAGAGCGGCCTTATAGCCGGCCTATTTCGTTTTATGGGACTAAATGTTTTTTTTATATGCTTTATGCACTTCTATCCCCTATCCTAAACATAGCCAACATAAAACATAGAACATTAAAATGTGCTTTCAGAAACTTAAAATATTTAAGTATTGTTTATTGGCTACATATCTGGGTCATAAATACAGCACACACAAAATAACACATCTAATAAATAATATATAATTTAAGCTCATTATGAATTAGCTTTTATATACATTTGTTAAGGCGACGCAGTGGGTAGCACGTTCGGTTCACAGCAAGAAGGTCGCTGGTTCGAGCCTCGGCTCAGTTGGCGTTTCTGTGTGGAGTTTGCATGTTCTCCCTGCGTTCGCGTGGGTTTCCTCTGGGTGCTCCGGTTTCCCCCACAGTCCAAAGACATGCGGTACAGGTGAATTGAGTAGGCTAAATTCACCGTAGTGTATGAGTGTGTGTGTGTGTGTGTGTGTGTGTGTGTGTGTGTGTGTGTGTGTGTGTGTGTGTGTGTGTGTGTGTGTGTGTGAATGAGTGTGTGTGGATGTTTCCCAGGGATAGGTTGCGGCTGGAAGGGCATCCGCTGAGTAAAAACTTGCTGGATAAGTTGGCGGTTCATTCCGCTGTGGCGACCCCGGATTAATAAACCCCGGGACTAAGGCGACAAGAAAATGAATGAATGAATATATTTGTTAAAACCAACGTGATTCTCCCCAGCAATTCTCTCTAAGCTTGCAGAACGTTTTCACAGCCATAAAGGTAATAACTCGCTTTATTAATAGCCTACTAACTACTACTTACAAACTTTCATTTTATAATTGTGTACAATACATAATAATAATAGGAGACATTTTGCATGTTTATAAAGGTAGGCTATGACATGCAGGCAGTGGAAAATTCCATATGCGCAATATGTCCATTTAAATCTCTCCATTTTATTTTGTCTATAAGGTACTATAGGTCTATAAGCAAAAGTCTATAATTTCAGATTATGTCACTGCAAAGAGCACACTGTAAAAAGCTCCATCTCTCCCTCTCGCAAAGCAGGGGATTTTTATTTTTCTGCAATAAATTTTGCAATATGAATACGGTTTCACAAAATCAATAGTACTATTTGACGGTTTTCTGGGGATTCTAACAGTGTTCAGGTACAAAAATCGAATAATCACTAAAAAAAAAAAAAGCTTTTTTTTTTACTTTAGTCGAAATATTGTAAAATATTGTTTGACGTTTTTTCCTTAAAGAAAAACAATCTGCAAATGATGTGCGTAAAATTATCTTGTTTTTGCTTTAAAATGTAGATATTTGGACTAGTAACAAGACAAAAATTCCAAGTAATAAAAACATTTTTTTTGCATAAATTGTATAAATTTAATATAAATACAGCAATTAAATATAATTCTATAGCTCTTGGTCAACTATAATTCTGACTCAACACTGCAAATCTTGCATGTCACTATTGCGGATAGGCATATTGCAATATCAATGCTGAAACAATATATTGTGCAGACCTAATGAAAAGCATCCTCAGAGCATCATGATATGAAATTAAACTAAATCAATGGCATGATCATTGTTATCGAACCAAACCGTGAGTCCATTGTAGGTTCACATCCCAATTGCAAATCACAGGAGTGAGCTTGCTCTGCCAGGAACAGCATTTATTTCTGCTTTTTTCACTGATTTAGAATATTTTTTACATAAATTACATTTTAAAATGCCATTGCAAATGTGCAGAGAGATTGACCAAAATAAAACTGATTGCACATTCTGAACAAAAACTACACTGGTTGGGATTTAAGGTCAGTCACAGGTACATATGTAGTTGTTTTGTTTGCAAATGATGAAAATGACCATTATTATGGCCAATGTGTGCTCCTACCCTCCTCTGTCTCTCGTTCCTGTCTTTGAAGCATCTGCTGTTCTGGAGGCAGAGCTTGCTGTAGGAGCTGCATGTAAAACTCATTTTCCTTCTGCACTTCCTTTTGCTTTCTCAGACGCATCTTGTAGCTCACGTAACTCTTGAAGCCGAAGCCTAGCGTCACCACCGGATAGCCAATACTGAAGTGAAAGATTCAGAACAACATGTTACAGAATACATAAAAACAAAACCAACAACTCAAAAACACAATTGGTCCAACTACTGATGACTCAACATCAGACACCTTCCGATTATGGCAGCACTCCCATATGCTGCTATGGAGACACTGCTAGTGTGTTTACAAATACTAAGCTGACTTCAGTGTTATAAGCAATACAGATACTCACTACATGTTTAATCATCAAAAACATGGAAACATCACTGTAGTCTGCCTTGATGATTGATACAAAAATGACTCAAAATATTTTTCTTTTGCTGTTTTGCTTATTGACAAATAAATAAAGTGCTGAGCAAAAATTAATTAAGATTAATTGCATCCAAATTAAATCTAAATTAGTTAGTTTTATTGACATTGCATGTGTGTGTATTGTGTATATTTCTTATGTGTATATTATAGGTGGGCATTGATTAATTAAAAAAAAATCTAGATTAATCTCACTGTAATCTTGGAATTAATCTAGATTAAAATGGCTCATTTGAATT